GGGGGGGGGGATGTACTCTGAGTCATGCATGCCGCAGTCGTTAGACCGTTGACCTCGCATCCCTACAAAGCCGGGGCGGGAGGGGGATATTTAACAACCGCCGTTGCACCACGGTAGTGTGTTCGAACCTTTGACGCTGCCTTGCCATGTGCTCACGTTCGTCATGGTAAGTGAGGGCGCCGCGCGATCAGTTCATGTTGATGGGGGACCAGGAGGGGGTGCCGTGCTATCTGTTCAGGTTCGTGGGAGTCGGGGGGGGGGGGGGCACAAGATGCAAGTCCACACGCGTGCACGCGAGGGTTGTCGTCGATGGTGCAGGTTGGAAGCTGAATCGAGTTGTGGCTCGAAAGCGTTTAATCGCCTGGGAATGTACCCGTAGGGGTGCCATGGGATACAACAACGACACCACCGCCACCGGCAACAACAACAGCAACTGCTGCTGTGCCATTTTTTCTTTCTCTCTTCTATGTTTTTTTTGTTCAGGGGTTCGTGGACGTGCTGTCGTCGGACAACTCGGAGCACGCGGCGATTGCGAACATGGCCAAGAAGATGTACGGCTTGCAGTTCCACCCAGAGGTATGTCCAACCATTCGCCTTGTGTCTTTGCGTCGCGGCCAAGAAGATGAACGGCTTGCAGTTCCACTCAGAGGTACATATGTTGAAGCTTGTCCAATCCGTTCGCCTTACAACTCGTCTTACACTTCGTCTTACACTTTCGTTTTACACGTCGTCTCGCACTTCGTCTTACAAATCGTCTTACGCCCTGCCTTACACTTCGTCTTACAGTTCGTCTCACACCTCCTCTTACAAATCGTCTCACGATTAGTCTTGTGTCGCAGAAGAGCGACGAATCGCTCGCGTGTGTTCCGCTAACCGGGCGCGGGAATGCGCGCATGTACACAACAAGGCAGTGATGTTGTCGTATGTTCGCCATGCCGCCCCGCCGTCTACACGTTCCACCCCAAGCAAGGCCTGTACAAGTAGTTCGTCTTGTGTCGGAGGAGCTGTGATTCGTTCGCGTTCGGCCTTCCGCTCCGCCCGCAAAGCAACACCCCGCCTGACTGTGTGGCTGAAAACTACGCGCCACCTTCCTCTCTGTCCAACAAATATATTTCTTAGGTTGCGTAAGACATCACACCCCCTGGGCCGATTTTGAAAGCTCGATTTGTCGGCGGGAGGCGTTGGATTCGTCGTCTCGTCGAGCGCTTTCCGAAAATGTATCATTTGAAGTCGGCATGCTCCTCTTCGTCGTGGAGTAATGGAGCTTTGACAAGCGGTCCGGGGTGTGTGGTATCTTCCGTCATGCAACCTACGGTACCGAGGCGGAGAACGCTCACTGCTGTATGTAGTCCTGCATACATGCATACACGCAGTGGCGGTGATGATGTTGTCCTGTGGAGTAGATACTGTAGCAAGCTGCAAGAGAGGAGATGAGCACATCGTTCTGTTTTTTATTTTATTTTTGTTGGGGCAGCCATTACACTCAAGAGTGTTCCACTAATAGTGTGCAGGTTGGTCGGCGTATGGACATATTTAGTATAACGTAGAAATAAACAGTTTTTGGGACTGTTTGTCCCTGTTCGTTATTTTTTTGTTTTTTGTTCACCGTTGTTGCTGCTACACGCGCGTGAACGTGTTGTTGTCAGGTAACACATTCTCCCCTCGGCAAGGTCATCCTCGAGGCTTTCGTCGTTGACATCTGCAGGGCACCCACGGACTGGAACATGGCCGACATCGCAGACGAGTTCATTAAGGAGGTTGGTACATACATTTGCAGGTATTGCTTGCTTTTTGGATGAGTTTGTTGGCATCCTTCCCTTGCGTTATCTCTCTCTCACTGTCGCCCCCCCCCCCCCCCCCCCCCCCCCCCCCCCCCCCCCCCCCCCCCCCCCCCCCCCCCCCCCCCCCCCCCCCCCCCCCCCCCCCCCCCCCNCCTACACGTTTTGTTTCTGTTTGTCATGTCGACGTTCCCGCTCAATTATTGTCAAATTTACGTTGCGCTCCCTTTGTCAAATTTACATTGCATTCCCTTTGTTTGCTCGCCCCCCCCCCCCCCCCCCCCC